AAAAAAAAAATGAAGAAGAATGTTAAGAAAAAAACTCATTAATACTAAAATCTAGTAAATAAAAATAGCCAAGCATTTCACCTGGCTTTTCTGTATCAACTAAATCTCAAGATAGCCTAATAATGTATAAGGAAATTTGTTTTGACATAAATAGGATATCATCATTTTGCAAACCCCTAATATATACACAAATATTGACTATATAAAGTAGTAATAGCACTATCTAGTGGGATTGAAAACAAAATAAGATAGAATTAAAATTCTAGATAAAAGCAGAGTTGGGAATAAATAGAGTTAAAGTGTATTACCTGGGAAGAAGGCAAAGCTTATAATGGACTTTACACTTTGATAAACTAATTACACAAGAACACAAACAGAATATCTAAATTCTTTTTTTTTCAGAGTCTTACTTCATTGCCCTCGTTAGAGTGCTGTGGCATCACAGCTCACAGCCTCAGCCTCCCAAGTAGCTGGGACTACAGGCGCCTGCCACAATGCCCAGCTATTTTTTGTTGCAGTTTGGCTGGGGCCAGGTTCGAACCCACCACCCTTGGTATATGGGGCTGGTGCCCTACCCTCTGAGCCAGAGGCGCTGCCCCAAATATCTAAATTCTAAACTGATACAGGAAGAAGAGAATAAGAAAAATTCCTCAAACAGGTTCTTAAAAAAGAATTATAAAAGTTTTAAGAAAGAAAAGAATAACATAAAAGAACTTTTAAAAAGCAAGCAAGGAAACAAAACAGGTAAAATAGAAAGCATACAAAAAGATAGCAGAAATAAATCCAATTATATCAGGAAACTAAATTCTGAGCATAAATATCAAGGACAGTCCAGTATGGATATTTAAAAAACCCCAAATCCAAATACATGTTTATAAGACATATAGCTGCTAAACCATAAAACTAAGAAAAGGTCAGAAATGAAAGGATTGAAAAAAGACACACCATGAAAACACTAATCAAAAGGCAAGTGGCACAGCTATATTCATGTCAAACAAAATAGACTTCACAGCGGTATATAGCACCAAGAAGGATCACGTCATAAATGGCTCAATTCACCAGAAATATCAGAAGACCTGACGATTAACCAACCACCCCAATGGATATATAAAGAACAGTGAACCCAATGTTCTTAGATTTCAACCTTCCTTTCAATACACACATAGAATTTTACTAAAAGTGACCATGCAC